TGTGTGTGTGTGTGTGTGTGTGTGTGTGTGAGTGTGTGTGTGTGTGTGTGTGTGTGTAAAATAAATTTCCCTGAGGTAATCATCACAAAGTCAAAATAAGACAGGTGACCAGGGAGCCTATGGACATGTACACGATTCATAATGTACACTTATTTTTCTTATCCTTTTGTTCAGTCAGCCCATACTGAAGAATTTGTTTGAATCATTGGAGTGAGTAAATGAACCTGAAAGTAATGAAGTGCTGATGATTTAAATGTTCAGGGTGTTTACTTTGTTTTTTTTTTTTTAAGTTTACAAAAAATTTTATTTCCTCTAGCAAGACAAAACCCAGAAATCTCCTCCAAATAGCAGCACCCACTGAACTCCAAGTACTCAAATATCTGAGACTATGATGTACATGCTCATTTGAACCTACAAAATGCAGATTCTAAACGCAAGTTTCTCTATATCATTATTGTTTTGACCTAGGCATTTAGACGGAAAATCATAGATTGAGTCATATAAGTTGGATGAATCTGGACATACTGAATTTCTTTGAAGCTCATAATATATTGGAGTAGCTTTCCCAGTGTCTTATAGGGTAAAATCTGAGGGTCCCTGGTTAAGCTGTCTGCATCCATGGTTTGTTAGCAGTGCTCAGGCTAGTGAAGGAACTCTTGTCTTTTTGACCTCTTATCTCTCACTCACATTAGTGTCATTTAGGAATCATAGACAGTGTTAGTGGAGGAATGAGGAGGAGATGAGCTACTGCATGGAGCTAGCTGAATGTTTACCACTGGGGAGATTTCAGTAAGAAGCAGAGTACAATGTGATTTGTTTTCTAAACTCTAGAGGGAAACCAAGTCCCTGGAAGGGTCCAGCAGAGATGGATCCAAACAAACTTTCAATGGAAGAGGGCAAGCAGTTCCTAAAACAGTGTGGGATCTCACAAAGAGATGTAAGCGTGCGATGCTGGGTAAAGAGAAGTTACATGGAGTGAGGTGGAGTGCTTTGTTTTTTAGAATAAAGGCTGTCAGGGGGCTGGAGAGGTGGCTCAGAGGTTAAGAGCACTGGCTGCTCTTCCAGAGGTCCTGAGTTCAGTTCTCAGCAACCACATGGTGGCTCCAGGGGTCCCGAATTCAATTCCCAGCAACCACATGGTGGCTCACAATCATCTGTAATGAGATCTGGTGCCCTCTTGGTGTGCAAGGATATATGCAGGCCGAATACTGTATACATAATAAATAAATAAACCTTTAAAAAAAATACAGGCTGCCAGTGATTTCAACATGCTCTCCGTCTCCTACTTACCTTGTCCCAGTGAGTCTAATCCTCTTAGTGTGTGTTTTGAACAGGGAAAGGAAATTATTAATTAGAACTCTGTTTACAAAACCACTGTAAAAATACTAATTTGGAGAAACACTTGTTTATATATGCATACATCATATACAGATGCATATCTATGTGTCTTTTATCATTGGCAAAGTAGTCTTCCTTTTTAAGTTTTAGTGGGGGAAGGGAAGGGAGAGAGGGAAGAGAGAAAAAGAGAGAGAGGTGGAGGAGAGGGACAGATGGGGGGCGTGGGGGGGGAGGAGTGGTAGAAGAGGAAAGATGGTCTTCTTATGTTTAAATTACTTAGCATAGCTATAAATGCAAGGCTGGCTCCCAGATGGGAAATTCAAGACGTGGAGAAATGCAAGCATCCACTCAACAAATGCTTATGTGCAAGGTGCTGTCTTGGCTGCTCTGTGGGCCATGCAGACTCATCAGGAGTTCCCAGGTCCTGGGCAGCCCAGCTCTAAAGGCCAACAACCACCACCACCCGGAGGCAGAATTACTCTGGGCAGCACACTTGACCTCTCTGAGCCTTCATATTTCTTTCCAGGAAAAATGAGGGTAATAATGGCAGCCACATTCTGCTTTGTTGAGAAGACTGAACGGAGGCACACAAAGGGCTTAGGCCTCCGGCTACAGCAAGTACTGTAAAGGGGTTAGCTATTACCATTAGTGTTTAATAAGAGGCACTGGCAACAGCAGAGGTGGTTCAAAGCAAAAGAGAAAAATAAAACAGAACTGGCATTAGAAATCTAAAGGGGATCTAAATGAATCTGCAAATTGCTCTTCCCCACAGAGGAAAGAGATCCCTTCCACTGCTCCAGCATGCACACCAGCTACAACGGCAGGATGAAGACTAATCTTCATAAACAGGTTGAGCAAATTATCAAACCTGCCTCTGCATTTTGGGTGTCGGAGGCACGATCATGCTATCTGCCTTTTGTTTTTAATATAAAAATGACTCATAACTGAAGTTTGGAAATTAGAAGGGAAATGACTAGTCATAATCTCACCACTGTAACATAACCATCATGATTAGTTTCAACTAATATCACTTCAAACATTCATTGTGGCCATTAGCCTCATAGTAAGAAAAAAGGCACAGCAAGGCACAGGGACAGTGGGTGTTCTCTTCTGTTTAAAATATTCATGGAACAATAAAATCTGCTCATATTTCAAATAGCAGTTTGACTTTCAAAACAGAATGTTAGACAACGTCCTCAATAAATATGCTAATAAGTTTTCCAATTGCTACATGTTAGGCCCAGTTTGGACTCCAGACTACTGAAAAAAAAAATTTCTTTATCATTGAAAGAGATCCCTCTCCCCAGGACCAGGAGCCGAATGCCATAAAGTGCCCTTTGGAGCTCCTGGAATCAAGTTCTTACCAGGGTTTAAGGAAGTTTGTAGATATTTTCCCCAGGGAGTTCAGAGATTTAGTGAGCTCTGTGTAAATATGTAAACCACCCACAATGTTTTTCCTGAATCCTAGAAACTTAGACCAAATGTTTAGTGTGGAAACTAACACCAAAATGCTTCCCGCCTGTCACTCTCCTCCAGACATTCTTTCTCCCTAGCCGCTGGGGAGAAGGAAGCAGAATGCAGAAGGGGCATTCATCTATCTTTGGAGATACCCCTAATGAGCTATGCAGCAAGATTAGCTTTCATTTTAGCTCAGTTGATTTTTAATTATTTTTTTAATAAAAATTTTTTCCCCTTTTTTTTTTTTTTTTTTTTTTTTTGCTTTTGGGCAAATTTTCTTTCTAGACTTTGACTTTAACACTCAGCCCAGAGGATTCTAATATTGGTTCTGGGTGCATCTGGTTTTCCCCTACATAAAGCACTGATTGTTCAAACATAGTTAAAGTCACCCAATCTTCACAAGTAAGGATGTTAGGTGGCTGTCCTGAGTCTGTTTTGTGCTGCAATAACAAAAGATCTGAGGTTAGGTCATGTTTAAGGAGGTCCTCGGTGCTAATGACTCTGGTGGGGGATTCTTAAGAATCCAAATATTGTGGTGCTGGCATGGCGGGGACCCTCAAGCTACAGCAGAATGTCACAGAAGAGAAAGGGAAGTAGGAGGGACAAGCACACAAGATGGCCTCGTTTATACAGTCCTGTCTTCCAAGGTGGCATTAAATCATTCGTGAGGGTGGAGCTTCCACTATCTAATTTCGTCCCCACCACCACGCTGAGGACCAAGCTTTGAGCCTTTGAAGGACAACTAGACACAAGGCACAGCAGTGGCTTGCACTGTTTCATTCACAGGGATGTTGAGGACCAGTTGAGCAGACATCTCACCGCATCACAACAAGCACAGAGAATGGAGTCTGTCTGCTTTCATTTGTCTCCTCATTTCTCACCAGGAGTCAGAATTATGACCCAGTGCAAGTTAACATAATGAGATTAGCAGAAAGCAATTGAAAAATGGCTGCCCAGCCTCAACTCAAGGTCAGTTTACTTGGCAGTGTGTTCCCCAGGAAAAGGGACTCTGCCCGCCACACCCCCCCCACCACACACTCCCATATATACATTCACACACATATGCAGCATATTCATGCACTTATAAAGCATATGTGTACAAACACATGAAGTCAGAGGACTTCATTAACACAGGAAAACCAGCATATAAAAATTGTAACTCAAAAAGTCAAATAGACTCAAACAACATTGAGATGCCAAGAAGGGACTTAAGGGGCACCTACTTGTGTCATTTTATAGACAAGAGAATTGAAACTGAGAGAAGCAAAGAGAAGTGACCGTGGCCTATGGCTCAGGACTCCAAATGTCTTAGCTAGTCTTGATGCTTCCCCTCCTTCACTTCACCTCCAGAAGGGTCTGACAGACTCCAGACTCTGAAGGAAGATCCCCACTGTGTTCTTGTACTGGGGGGGCGGGGGGTAGCACCACTTGTGGTTGTCTCCATGTCACGTACCTGCTGGCTCCCTCAGCTGCACCTGGCTGATGGGTGACTGCTTTCTCTGGAGTAGCTGCCAGGAGCCCGCCCGAGTCCTCACAACCTCTGCCACTTCACAACTGTAGGCACCTACATCCTCTGGACCCACGGAGAAGATCTTGAGAGAGAAAGCCTGGGTGCTTATCTTTGAAACCTGCATCTGTCCTTGGCTCGCTCTGTTCCTGTAGTCTCTCTTCAGGTCTAGGACCCCACCAGAATCAATCTGGGCAATTTCCTTCCCATTGAGGAACCAAGTACCCTGAAGCTGCAGGTCACCACTGCTGCCAACAACCAGGCAAATCAGTTCCAAGGGTTTTCCTTCAGCAGGTGAGCTCCTGGCTGTGATGTTCACTTCAAAATCTCTTGCTGGGCAACAAAAGCAAAGCAGATGTTTAGAAAGCCCATTGTACGTGCCCTTTTCAGCCCAAGAGGGATGAGATCCATGATAATGATACTACGGCTGCATTTTATGTAGCCTTTCAGTTCTGTGATGGCAGTGAGTTCCCCACTCCAAAACAACCCCACAGTGAAAGAATTTACAAAGTCCCTGGCTATTCCAAATTACCCAGAAAGCACAGTATCCATGGTTTTCTGAAAGCAGCCCCAGCAAGTAAAAAGCATGCACAGATGTGTGAAGTATCTACTTAGGCATGCCTCCTTAATTAAAAAGTGAAATATTTCATGCTGTGCTGAATTGCTGTAAATTATGGCTTCTCTTTGTGTGTGTGTGCTGGGAATTGAACCCAGGCCTCACTGTGTGCTGGGCATTCACTTCTTGCTCTGAACCATAACCCCCAGTCTTTATTTCTTACTTTGTTCATTTGTCTAAGAAACAGCCAGTAGAATTTTTCTAACTTCCAAGCACATGTGATACGGCCTTGTAGGACCCAATGAGTGTATGCCAAATACTTGAGAGCCATAGGATGATTTGTAGTGGAGCAGAGTAACATAGAAAGTCAGTGATCCACAACAGGAGTATTGCTTTCCACAGGAAGCTGTAGAATAGAATATTTGTTTAACTATGTAGAGATATGTTGCATTTGTTTGTGTTGCAGAATAATCATTTAACTATGTAAAGAAGTGTTGCAGGTGGGTTGTGGTGGCGCATGCCTTTAATCCCAGCACTCGGGAGGCAGAGATAGGCAGATCTCTGTGAGTTCGAGACCAGCCTGGTCTACAAGAGCTACTTCCAGGACAGCCGCCAAAGCCACGGAGAAACCCTGTCTCAAAGAAAAAGAAGAAGAAGAAGAAGAAGAAGAAGAAGAAGAAGAAGAAGAAGAAGAAGAAGAAGAAGAAGAAGAAGAAGAAGAAGAAGAAGAGTTGCTTTGGTTATGCTGCATTTGTTTAACTATGTACATTCATTTCACCTTGCCTGCCTGATTGGGCTAACAAAAAACTGAACAGTCAATAGGTAGGTAGTAGTGGGATAGGAAGGGCTAGCAGGCAGAGAAAATAAGTAGGAGGAGGAATATAGACTCAAGAGAGAATGAAGAAGAAAGAGAGGAAGATGTCCAGGGCCAGCTAGCCAGTCAGCCAGCTGCCAGCCAGCCAGGCATGGAGGAAGCAGAGAAAGTAGGACATACAGAATGAAATAAAGGTAAAAGCCCTGAAGCTATATGTAGAAGAAGAGAAATAGGTTAATATAAGTTATAAGAGCTAGTGGGACAAGCCTAAACTAAGACAAAACATTCAAAACTAATAATAAATCTCCATGACAAGATTTGGAGGCTGGTGGTCCAAGATAGCCTACCACATTCGGTGGCCCACGTTGGGTGACAAAATGCTATTTTGCCTTCCTCACAGTGGCTGTGCTTTCCTGGCTGCTCAGGCCATAGCCTGGGGGGAGTTTTATTTCCCCAGACAATGAATCTGTTGCTGCCACTAAAGATAGCTTAACTAAATCTCTATCATTCTAATAAAACTCAAAATGCAAAGGCTAGGGTGTAAACCTTTGAACTTATAGAGTTTGAATAGCAATTGGCTAACTTTCTCTCTTTGCTGGTATCCTGGAAGCCCCTCTCCTTTCACCCCACCCTAACTAAAAAACCCACACTATGCTCCTCCCTACTGTTTCCTGCCAACTAGTTGCTAACCCCGCCTCTCTGAGCCCAGGTTTAATTTTATATAATTAACATAAACGCAACAAATCTTTATATAGTTAAACAAATGTAGCATAAAAAATGTAACACATCTTTGCCTAGTTAAACAAAAATTCCACAAAAACAGTGGATATTCACAGTTTTAGCTGGCCCTTCTATTGGACCAATGCACATAAAGAGACCAAAAATGACCAGGTCTTTCTGTCTAGTTTTGATGAAAATGTCATGTAAGGTGACAATTTCAAGCCTGGTGGAAAGACGTCCTGTCACCAACAGGGACAAAGCTTCATACTGGAAATAAGAGCAACTTTGAGGCCCAGCTGCCTGTGGTAGGTGGGCTTTGGAGAGAGGGAGGTTTGACGTTGGAAGTAGATTCCTCCTTTCCCCAGTAGGAGTTTGAATGTAGTTAGGGTGTCTATAACTGGAGTCCCTGGTTTTTAAAACGGGAGCTGACTACCTTATGGGGTGATCGTTTGGACTACAATTAAATAATATAGATAGCATGCTTACAAAGTGCCTGGTAAACATGGTTGTAATATCGTTTCCATGGCTGGCTTATAGCATCAATCTAGTTCTTTCATATTTCTTCTTTTTTTATTTTTTGAAGACCATGTGTTCTTTACGATTTATATATTTATTTATTTATTTATTTATTTATTTATTATGTACACAGTGTTCTGTCTGCATGTATACCTGCAGGTCAGAAGAGGGCACCAGATCTCATTACGATGGTTGTGAGCCACCATGTGGTTGCTGGGAATTAAACTCAGGAACTCTGGAAGAGCAGCCAGTGCTTTTAACCTCTGAGCCATCTCTCCAGCTCTCTTTCATATTTCTTGCCCCATATAAAATCTCCCATGAGTAGAGCCAAAATGGAATATTCTGGAACATCTTCTTTTTACTTATGCTTCCCAAGTGACAAAAACAAAATTAACTTAAACTTCTTATCTACTTTTTAGGAAAAGTCAACAAAAGGTTAAAATAAAAAAATAAAAAAAAAGCTATCCTTGCGGTACTCACTGACAGGGAATTCACAGGTTTCCTGGGAAGATAATTACCTGCTGGCTGGATCTTCAGAGCTGTTTGATCTGTCTGCTTTCTGGTGATCAAAGTCCACACTTCATCTGGATCCTGAATCCATTCTGTGGCCTCACAGAACAACTGGCCTTGATCTGAGGGTTGGAGCCTGCCTATGGACAGCTTGAAGGAAGTGGCTCCAAGCTTGTCCAGCCGCACGTCACCGGCCATGAACCTATCTGCATAGGAGGGCCCAGGGGCCAATAGAAAATCCCTGGAGAGAGAAATGATCTCCATGGCTTGACTCCCTCCTTCCTGCATCAGGTACCAGCTGAGGGAGAGGTGGGTATGTTGAGCTGTTGCTTTAGTTGCCTCGCAGGTGAGTTCTAATGGCTCGCCTTCCTTCTTACTGAGCGTCTGGGAGGGCATGGTGGCAGACAGGGTGTCAGGAATCACTGGGAACAAAGCAAACAAAATCATCGTTTGACTGATTCATGTTTGTTTTATTAGACCTTCTGGAGGGAAGATGGCCCTAAACCTCATCTGCAAAGTGCATCCTTTGAGTTTGCTTTCCCAGCTATATGCTTTCCCAATGGGGGACTTGCCTATTGTTGAGGGAGCATGGGAACTTTGCAAAGCAAGTGGTTCAGGGATATATGACCCTGGCTTTGCTTCATCAGCCTAGACTGGAGCCAGGTTAGCTACTTAGCCACCAGTGGGAGGAGCACTAGAGCTTCTAGACATGATTCTGGCCTTCAGCCACCCTGTGTCTCTCACTAGATGCACACGAATGGATGGCTTCATTTCCCTCCCCAGACCCTAATCTGTCTTTTCTATTACAGAGATCTGAAATAATTTAATTTGCTATGCAGAGCCCAAATGCAATCTTTCCCCAAGTTCCCACAGCTGTCTTAGGACCCTATCATTCTCTTCTTCCTCATATGTAAGCCATACTCCCCAAGCTCATGAGACTGGGTTACCAAATACTCTAGACACTGCACTAAGAGCTGAGTGTTCCCAGGAGCTCAGAAGGTGGTGGGAGATGTGCATATAAATAGCCTGTTATGACATAACTGGGTGAATGTTGGCAATCACAGTGTGAACAGGACATTCAAAAGAACCAAGCGGGGGATATGCTCTGCGGCGATCTAAAGGTCTCTGCAAAGGAGGTAATGTTGAATCGGCATCTGAAGTTTATGTAGGAGTTTGCTAAACTGCAAAAGAAAGCTAGATATTCCAGGCAAACGACAGTTGCAAGAATATGAACTGTCCCTATAGGGAAATGTGCTAGAAAATGGTGGTTGGAAAATACCATTCTGCAGTTGGTGCCATCACCTACGATATTCATGCCATCTCTCTTCTCAAGTTGCATGATGATATGGGGTGAGGGGTTATGCAAATGCCTAACTACAGGTAGTAGCAAAATGCTTTGCTACTATCAATTTATGAGTGGAGACCCTGGGAAGGCACCACACTGGCTCAACCTGTGTGGGATATGTCACTGGGAAAACATGAGACACCTACTTGTAATAAATCTCCAAAATACTCTAGGCTCTAGAGCAAGCATACTAGTGGAAAACCGTTCCCTTGGCAGGGCATTGTAAGAGTAGAGACAGGCTTGCCAGGGGCTGGCTAGCAAGAGCTCACCAGTTAGATTAGTCTTCGCACTGTAACTTCCCAAGTACTTCCCATCCGTGTTGGGTGTGTGGCACTCATATTCACCAGCATCCCTCATCTGGAGCTTGGAGATATGTAGCAGGACTGAGCTGCCCTGTAGTCTCTCCACGTAGATTTCCTTGCTTCGCACCCTTTGGGCATACACTGCATAAGAGAAGCCGACATCCTTGGTGCTGATGATCTGGATTTCCCTGGTGGGGGCTGTTGGCAGGTAAATAGACCACTCGAAATCCTGTGTAGAAGGTCCCTGATGACCACTGACATTGCATCTGATGTTGACAGGGTAACCTTCAGCTCTGTACAGAGGTCCTTCTTGAATTTTTACTTCCCTCTGGCCGATGCTGAGCTTAGCTTGCAAGTAGGAGGAAGAAAGGGGAATAGAAATAGATGAGTGCTCTAATTCCCGGGTAGCACATCATGTAGTTCTCTGTATTACCATCCTGGTTAAATGAGATCACAGGTTAGTAGCTATAATCACCTCATATCTTCACTGCCTTCCTCAGGCTGGATGGCAGTGGAATGGCTCAGTGAGGTCATTGTTCCTCCATTATTTAAGCTTGCACAGTCCTGGTCTCCTTTGGAAAATGTTTAGCCCAATCATGTACCAAGACTACATTCACAAAGCAGCTATTTGTCTAAATGGACTTACTTGAAAGGTAATATCTGATAACTGGCCTTTTGCAGTATTTTATGGCAAAACAGCAAAAACTTCCTCAACCCTCAAATCCCAAGACACAGTCTCTCTCAAGGAAGGGCTTTTGCGAGAGGCAAAGTCCTTGGCTCTGCTCTTGAAGCCTTTTGTCTTTCTTGTTAGTTAGTTGGAGATTTTTGTGGCTCTCAGCCACGTCTGATGCAAGCCTAGATAAAATGAGCACCGGAAATGGCAGCAACACTTCCTGTCTACTGTAAAGGCTTTTCTTTTCTATTTGCTTTTGCTGTGTTTTGCTGGTTTTGCTTTCTGACTTCTTAGAAGGACCCTTTCACTTTACTGGGAAATCTAAGGGGATACCTTATGGAGCCCTGCCGGTTCTTTACTCAGAGTTGAATTCTTTTCTGACTCACAGTTTTCAGTTTGGATGCTTTCTAATTGAAACCTCAGAATATTATGTCTAAAGGAGAAAACATGATCAAAAGGTCATATTTCTAGAGAGAAATGTTTTTAATTCAGCATTGCCCCTTACCAGAAACTACTACATATTTGCTTATTAATACTGAAAGGGATCTTATTTTGTGTTTCTGAAAGAGCAGAGACCAATGACAATGATGCCACAGGGATGGACAAGATCTTCCCTGAGGGCCCAGGAATGCTTAAGGTCAAGACAGGGTTGAATAACATCAAAAGGTCCATTGAGAGCTATGGCCAGCACAGAGGAGCTGACAGAATAGAATCCTTCAGAACAGGCTCCAGAAAAGCAGAGCAAGGACAAAGACTTAAGGTGACTCCTATGGGGAAACAGAGAAGATACGTGCAGAGCCCGTGAGAAGAAATGGAAACTATCATGAGGCCCAGAAGGTGGCTTCCCTCCCCCACACTGGGGTGAGTGATTACTTGATATAATCAACTAACAACTTAAAAACTGCATCTGAATACACTCAACTAAAACTGGCCAAGAAACTAATCAATACCCAACCACACACTTTTCCAGTAATAATTTAAAAATACATTCAAGTAGTCATAAATCTCAATGTTATATATTTATATCACCATTTTTTGTGCTGAATATCTATAAATAGGAATTAGACTACATTAGAAAAAATTAAATTATTACTTACCAGAAAATGACTATAGAGGAAGTTTAAAAATGTTTTCAGCAAGGCAGCCTTAGTGAAATGTGGGCACTGTGCACCAGGCTACATATGAAGGAAAATTTACAACTGCACTATTCATTGTCACCCCAAACAAGGAATAGACCACATGTCCATCAAACAGGAGAACAGATACACTGTGGTGATGTACCATAAGATGGAATATTATAAAGAAATTTAAAATAAATTCATAACTATTTGCAATAGCCTGTAGAATTGTATCTGATCAGATATAGAATACCTTTCAATCTCTTTGACTATGTGTGGAATTATTTTATCCTTTATACAGCTAAAAAATAGGGGCTAGAGAGATGGTTCAGTGGTTAATAGCACTGATTGCTCTTCTAGAGGACCCAGATTCAATTCTTAGCACTCACATGGTGGCTCACAACTATCTGTAACTCCAGTTCCAGGGGACCTGACACCCTCACACAGGCATACATGCAAGTAAAACACCAATGCACATAAAATTAAATTTTTAAAAGCAGGCAAAACCACATTGTATTGTTTAATTGATGCATAAGGGTTAAAATCACAAGCCAGGAAGTGGGTATTGTGAGAGTCAGGAGTGATTTGAGGGGAGGATTACATCCGGGTGATTAACAGGCAAGATGGGTAGGCACTTCTAGGGACCTAATGATGTTGTTTCCTGAACCTTGTAGTGATTACAGAGGTTTTATTTTCTATTTATTTGTTAATTTAACATTTATACTTTATTAACCTTTTCTTTTTTTTCTGAGACAGGGTTTCTCTGTATTGTTTTGGAACCTGTCCTGGAACTCGCTCTGTAGACCAGGCTGGCCTCGAACTCACAGAGATCTGCCTGCCTCTGCCTCCTGAGTGCTGGGATTAAAGGCATGCACCACCAATGCCCAACTTTATTAACCTTTTCTAACATACTACATTTCACCAGAGAATAATTTTTAGAACTGAGGAGATGCCTGCTGTGCATGCATAAGGACTTGCATTTGAACCCCAGTATCCAGGTAAAGGCTGGACACAGGGGTATATTTGTTATCCAAGCTGGGGAGGCAGAGACTGGAGGATTCCTGGGACTTGTAGGCAAGCTCATCTATCTGAATCAGTGAATCCCAGGTACAGTGACATATCCTGTTTCTAAATATAGGGTAAACAGGCAGCTGGGATCAATTTGGCAAGATATCCTAAGGGTGCAATACTGGCACTCATATCTTGGTAGTAACCAATGGCTCTCTAGTTGGACTTAAGGCCCATTGAACAGGAGAGAAATCATGCTTAGAATTGGAAACCTAGGCAATTGCCCAGGGCTAGCGAGGTCATGTGTCTTAGAGAAGAATCTTCTACTACCACTTTACTAAGCAGAATAATTACAACTACATTCTAAATCATTATCTCTCTACCCACAGATATGTGTGACTCTCATTACTCATCAAATAAACTTTTCTCTGCAACAAAAGGAGAACATTACAGAAAACTATAACTAATCTAAATGCAAAGAACAAGCGATTATGGGGTGCCCATCTCCAACTGATATATTTACAACCCAGCTCTTGTGCCTAAGGCTCAGGTAACATCATAGAAGAGGACAGAAGACAGTGCAAGAGGACCAGGAAATCAGCCTGGTCTACAAGAGCTAGTTCCAGGACAGTCTCCAAAGCCACAAAAAACCAAAAAAAACCCCAAAACAACAACAACAACAACAACAAAAACCAAGACCCAAAGAAGCACAACATCAATAGACAGAGTCACATAGAAGGAAATCTCACTGGGTCCCACCAGTGAATGATGGACTGTGGGTAATAAGTAAGTTGAATTAAACTCTCTCCTCCCCAAGTTGACTTTGGTCATGGTGATTGTCACAGAAACAGGAGGAAACTAGAACAGCACCCTTTCTACAAGCCTCACTTGTGTGACTCCTCCACCCCTCCTCCCCTGTCAGTCATGAAATCTCTGCTCTCTTTAAATTTCTCCAGGGGCTTTCATTTCTATCTTTCTCGTGGAGGTGATTTCCATTCTAACTGACTAGCTTATTAAGGCTCAAGGTCAGAGATGACTCCAAACTCATCTTTGTATGTTAGTCTCTCAAGTATCAGAGAGCCTCTAAGTGGCTGAATAAATGTGTATTGAATTGGCGAGTAAAGCATGGGGAAATACAGTGCTAGTTTTCACCATAGAAACTGTCTAATGTGCACTCACGTCACCAAGAAGTGATGACAAAAGTTGAAGGAACATTGCCCAGCTGCCACAAGAAAAATAATATAGTATGCCCTGAGAGAAAAAGATTAATCATATCTCAAACTATACTTTAAAATGTTTATTTGGCTGGGTGGTGATGGGGCACACCTTTAATCCCAGCACTGGGAGGGAGAGGCAGGTGGATCTCTGAGTTGGAGGTTAGCCTGATCTACAGAGTGAGTTCCAGGACAGCCTGGGATACACAGAGAAACCCTGTTTTGAAAAACAAAACAAAAAATGTTTATTTGTAGAGTTGAGTCAAATGATTAGATTGCTGTGCAGATGTTTGTAAGAAATTCCAGGAAAGCAGAAGCAGTAGTGGTTTTGAGGCCAAGAAGTGACTGAAGGGCATATGAACCACTTCATGACAATGTAGGGGACAGGATTCAAGAAAGCCAGGGTGGGAGCTCAAGGAAGGAACTGAAACAGAGACTGTGGAGAAAGTCCCCTTATTGGCTTTGTCCCAAGCTCATGTTCAGTTACTTCTTACCTAGCCCATGTCCACCTGCCTAGGGATAGTATTGCCCACAGTGGACTGGGCTTCTTACATCAATTAGCAATCAAGAAAATATCTCCGTGGATATGCCTACAGGGCAATCTGATGGAGACATTTTTCCAAGTGGGATTCCCTCATCCTAGGTATATCCAGGTTTGTGTCAAGGTGACAAAAACTAATTAGCACAGATGGTGTCAAGATTGGACTTTGGAGGATTGGGAAGACTGCAGGCCAAGTGGAGACAGAGCCTTTTAGGTGAATGTGACTGTACGACAAGATGACAGGAGTAAAACTGAAAAGATCTCTTCAGAAACAGGAAGTGGTCAGCTCTGGGGAAAGAGGTACAAGAAGACTGATGGGTGGGCACGAGACTGGCCAGGAGCATGAAGAACTTGATGGTCATGGTTAACAGTTTGAAGTTAACTAGGCGACAGGGAATCCCTTGAGACTGTCAGTTATATAGAGAATGGTGGAAGTTGGAAACAGCCATCAGGTAACTTCTAGCTCGGGGCAGAGATGTTGGAAGTGCAGGGGTGGGTGAACGAGACTGGGACTAAGGAGCTATTGTGGAGATGGTATCTGTAGAGGTCAGGGCTCTGATGCTTCAGTGTAGTAGGGATGAACATGGGGACAGGATGGGGGAAATCAGATACCCATGTTTGATAACATTGGCTGGGAGAATGACTCTCAACAGAAAACAAAAGGTTATCAGTGAGAACTACTACTGTGCATTCAAGGGTGGCTGAGGAGATATCACGTTTAATTTTAGAGGCAGGCAACTTGAACGCTCTGGGATAAACAGGAAGGATACCCCAAAAATATTTGGGGAAATATTTAAATATGTGTATTTTACTTTTAAAGACTCTTGTAGACTTCAAAAACTTTTGTAATTTAACCCT